AAATACAAAATTTATGTGTTATAATTGAGTTTATTGAGTTATATTAGGAGTCTATTCTGTTAATTGATTCACTTTCCGTTTAAAAACATTGTGATCCCCTGTTTCACACCGTGAATACAGTCGAGTACAATAATCTGTCCAGCTGTAATCCCATGTTTCACGCCATGAATACAGTCGAATACAAAAATCAGTCTAGCTGTAATCCCCTGTTTCACGCCTAGAAATGCTACTGTATTCATGAATACAGTGGCTTAAATATATCGAATACACTCTAAAAAATCTGAAAACATAGCTATAGGAAGTAATATAGTAAATGATAGCTACAACTAGTTAATAATCACTAAAACATAGTAGTAATTTTTGAAAGTTTCTCAATATTATAAGAGCTCAAAGTCCGTAACCGTAATGGCCAGGCATAAAATTAATATTGGGAGATTGTGCAATTAATGGGATCGGAGATCCAGAGATCTGATTGAGTAATCATGATTACAAAGGAATAATCTATAGAGAAGTTAGCACATATAGAGAAGTTAAACAATCACTCTATATACGGCGTGGTCATGCTTTACGTAGACCCCCATATGCCGATATTGAGAGAGATAAACTATATATGTTGATTTAGGATGACAATAAATATGAAAAGTGGTAAACCTAAAATCACTTGAGAAAATTTGTTTCGAAATACTTGAAATCTCTTATAGCTACTTTTTTATTCACACATGAATAAGATGAGACTTAGAGAATTTTGTTTTAAAGAATTCTTATTTATTACTCCCACCGGTCCAAAATAAGTGATTTTTTGGATGTTTTCACACATATTAAGAAATCTACCTTTTAGCATTAATTAGCAATGGAATTGACCATATTAACTTTTACTATCTCACATAAACACTCCTAACATATATTCCAACACTATTTACTCTAAGGACAATGTGAGAAAAAAATAATTAAGGCATTCTTGAAATCTGGAAAAATCACTTATTTTGGACCACAAGAAAAAGGCCAAAAAATCACTTATTTGGACCGGAGGAAGTACTATTTAATATTGGAATATAATAGACTTGAGTAGGGTAGATAGGAAACAAATGATACATATAATTTGAGACCCTGACCCCATCGAATTTGATGCATTGATGGACTAATTGATGAGTACTACTATAGAACTGTTACCAAACATAACAAGACGTTAATGTTCCTCGATAAAGTCCACATGCGTGAAAAAGCATAAACGGCCACATTTGTCTTTGTTCTATAAATCCCACGGACACATGTGAATGTTTCCATAATAATTTTCACCCAACCTACAAGGTCTTCTCTCTTCAGTTATTTAAGAATTTTAATTATTTAAGAATTTTATAATGTGGGACTCCAACTAGCAACTGAAAGTGACTTGTCCTATAAGTGAGATATTTACACGCATAGGCTCTAAAAAGCTATCTTTTCTCAAATATTCACAAATAGCCTAAAAGTTATCAATGTTAGGGGGAGTTATTCATTTTGGAATTAAGCTAAAGTATTAAAGTCAACACGTAACTAGTTGATTTCCCACAAGCAAATGCTTGAAATAGGATATTTAATTTATACCCGCAACAAAATAGGTTTGAATAATAAGGGCAATAAACCAATTTAGAAAAGGAACAATCTCCAACCTGTAAATATGGAGATATTGTGCAAAATGTGCCACCGCGAATATAGTATAGTATTCTGGCAACTACTTGAGATTAATGGACGTATACTCCCTCCCTTCACTTTTATTGTCCACCTTGACTTTTCATACTCTTTAAGAAACAATAAATAAAATAAGTATTTTACAATTTTACCCATAATAATATTAGTATTTTCAAAAGTCATGGGAAATGAGTGGTTAATGATAAGGGTAAAAAAAAAGAAGAAGAAGAGGAGATTGTCTTTCTCTTGATTTAGTATAGTGGACAAGTGTCTTTCTCTTGATTTAGTATAGTGGACAAGTTAAAAATAAAAATATATTTTGAACGAATGGAGAATATATATATATATATATATATATATATATATATATATATATATATATATATATATATATATATATATATATAT